CGTTTCCCCCTCTAAAATTGAACGTGCCTTCCCTCTTAAACAGGAAGCCAATATGACACTTTCTTCAAATTTCCCTATCTATTTGCCCAAGCAATTAATTCAAAACTGAGATAAAAATTCTCGCAAAGGAACACTTCCGTCATATGTATCGGGCTTTAATTTTAAACCAAGATCGAGATTAAAAATTGGATTTGACTGACCTGGTATGGATAGTTCATGCTCCTCGAACTGCTGCATTGATTCTCCACGCTCTTCCGCTCCGCGTCGCCGCTCCGCGCGTTCCTCTCTAAAAAGCTCCTCTATAATCATTCAGAAAACCATCTCCAGATTCGGAATCGTTTTCGGTTCCTGCGCACGCGTGCAAGCTCTCTTCCTGGCCGAGACAATCCGTCTCTCCAACGCTTCTTCTTGTCTCACTTCCGTCGCTAAATACTTTCCTGTCAATACCGCTTAATGCTCTGCTATGTTTACCGATTCCGGACGAGCCCCCAAAAATGTCGCGCTCGCGACGGATTCACTCGCGTTACACTCATGCCAAGGAAAGAAGAGAGAGAGAGAGAGTTTAGGAAATGTAAGAATACACTTTATTAACCACAGAAACACGGGAGCTAACAAAAACTTTCTACAATTCAATATAAATTCACCGCGACCATGACTTAAATTCGCGTGCTGTTAACTCTCTCACAACAACAATACTTGACAATCGCTTGATACCGCGTCAGCAAGGAACGACCTTCAGGTTGGAAATACGATATGAGGATAGCGTATATACACACACGCGCGCACGTGTGCACGCACGCACGCACGCACGCACACACACACACACACACACACACACACACACACACACACGCGCGCGCGCGCGCACACACACACACACACACATTCTTATAACATTTTTACTGTCTTATGATAATTAAAAATATTATTTCGATTAAAAATTTGAACTCATATTTAGTACATAATACTTACATTTTGTGTTATTAATGATATCTTCAGTTCAGCTACAGACAACAATATATGTAGTTTTTAAATTCCTTATTTACGATCTCCACTTACAGATGTACATTTTATACGCATGCGCGAACAGAGAACGCGAAGACACAAAACAGATTTTATCTTTTTCTACGTGCACCTCGATCCCCATTCCTTAACACTCGGTATACTATGTCTAGGTATACTATGTCTATGCTACGAACACAACATCCGAGTATCTCCGGAGTTCCACGAAATCTTCCGGAGATAAAAAAGCGCCGATCTCATTAGAGCGGCGGCGACGGCTTAATTATCATTCACGATCAGATCCAAACTGTTCCGAATCAGCCCATATAAATATCGCGGTGATATAAAAAGCTGTCCTTCGCTCTATCAAATGAGATCCTCCTTAAATTAAGACTCGCTCTCACGAATCAATCCGCGTTCCGCTTCTAGAGATGAAGCTGAAAAAACGAAGTGAGAAAAGCCTGCCTCTATCTGGACATTCCCGACAGGCCCGTCCAGTTGGGATGTTCCCTGCTCCGCCCGACCAACCGGCATCCAGTTGTTTAATTTTTTCTATCCCGATACCTGCTCAAGAAAGCGCATCGTTGAAGATGAGGGTAACCTGCCTCCGCCCGGACATTTCCGACCGATTGCTTCTTCTAGAGTTTCGATAAGGAGTATCATTGAGGATGAGGGATATGAGTATCATTGGGATGCTCCCTGTCTCCGCCGAGTCCGGCCGGGTCGGCCTATATCGGCCGACCGCTTCCTCTATCTTCGAAGCACCACCAAGAAATCAGCGCGATCTCAAAATCTTCGGCCGGTTGTTTACAATCTCTTAAACTCTTATTATATTATCTTCCTTTTGATTTATTATAAATCTCAATTATTAAAGATATAGATTGGAGTTTCGATAATTATTCTAATTTACCAAATCTGTTACAACTGACAAGCTATTCCGCGCTCCAAATAAAATCCGATTCGGATGGGAAAACCGCTCTGTTTTAAGGGAGACTACCGTTAAAAAATAATTATTGAGATCATTATTACTTCTTTGATAAGAGATCATGCGTCGTGGATATATGATTTGAAGAGAAACGAATTGCAGATCGAACTCGCGGCACGCCGATTTAATGCAAAGTATAGACAAACTATGACAACGACTGGCGTAATACATTAAAAAGAACGAAGACATGTCGCAAGCTGGCATGTCCACTGATCAAATGGGAGCAGCTGACAGACTCCCGATCAACAGCGCGCCGGAATCCATGGAAATAATCTGACCGCTAAGATTATAAACCAAATACGAAAGTGGAGCTGTCACTTTGACGGACGCGACCCGTCGACATTCTTAGAACATGTTGTGGAATTATGCGATGCTTATGATTATAATGGACATCACATGTTGCTTGGCCTCCAAAAATGCTGAGGAGAAATACGCTCTTATGATAGTTCCTGGATGACTTTCGGGTGTAATATCTGTCACACCGATACCGCGACCAATTGTACATGAAATACCGAGGGTACAACACCGGGCGAACCGTACGTTAAATATGCCGTCGAATTGTAAACTTTAATACGT